CAATAAATGTTTCAAGGAGTCCTTTTAAAAGTTAATGGATTTTTTTTTTCAGTAGGAATCGTCAAATGTGTGCTCTATTTATTTAATAACTTGCGTATAATCAAGTGCAAAATAATCGCCAATGAGGTGTAATGTATTTTATTCGAGGCCTGAGTTTATGAGCGCAACTGAGGCCTCACTCCTCCGCTGCACCAGTAGGTTAGTGAAGGTCAGAGTCACCCTTTTATACTGTGTCAATTTTTCAATTGATCCGTGTATACAGTTGTGTGAAAAGTTTTGAAGCAAACAAAAGTTTTATAAAAATGATAAATTTTTCTATTTAAAATTGTTCTTTATCTTATTAATTGTAAACTTATTTAACCTTCCAGACACTTTAGATGTAATATATACTCAAATTAGCAATTAAAAACAAGCAAGAAGACCAAACCCTTGTGTTGACATTTGTTTCCCCTATAAATAATGCTACCTTATTGTTTAAATTCCATTACTTTGTTCCACTTTGGTCTTCTTCTTTCACTTCTATTTTTAACATCAAAATCCTTTGTATAAACTCTAAAAAGCTGAGTTTACATGTTAAAATTATTCTAATATTGGAATTCTTCATTTTTTTTTTTCAATAATTTAATTTAACGTTCCATATTTCTTAGTTTCTTTTTAATGTTACTTTAATTTCAGAAAATAAAAAAATATGTTTTTTATCGTTATCTTGCTGAAAAAAAAGTTTTCCCCAATCAACTTAAGCTGATAATGTGGTTGCATGGTATATAAGAAAACTATGATACAGTTTTGCATCCAGTTTTCCATCTATTCTCAAGAGGTCTCCAACCATAGACCTAGAAACACACCCCCAAACCATTAAGAAGCCATCTCCATGTTTTACTATTGGTAGTAAATATTCATCCGAAAATTCCACTTCAGATTTTCATTAACATACTGCGCCCTTCCGGTACCATATAATTAAAATTTTGACTCCTCTCTTCATTCAAACTTTGTGTTCCATTCTTCTTCCGTTTAACTTTCGTGTTCTTTATAAAACTTAAGTCGCTTTCGATTGCTCTCAACCTTTAAGATCAAATGGTAGAAGTTCCCTGTGATCAAGGAGGATGAAACTTAGGTCCCTGCAGCATCGGCTATTTACAGAGCCAGTTCTCTGTTAGATTTTTAGCAGTTGTGCAAACACAATAATTCAAGTGCAATTCAAAGTGCAAACACACTGTTCAGCAGCAGTCAGGGATGCCCAGAAGGGGGTTTGAAGGCGTAACTTGAGCTATCAAATTTTTTTTGGGGGGGAGGGAGGGGAGAAGGAGGGGGGTATATTTAAGTAGTTTTTTAAATTTTTGAATGGGACCGATTTCTAAGGGGCTATTAATTTTTAGGATGAAAAGTTCCATACTAAGGTACAAGGGGAAAACGAGGAACAGACGGCAGCAAGTGTAATTGTGTATGATCTACGATTTTTGCTAATTCTAATTTTTCTAAATCCTTCGCTTGTTCCATTTTTTAAGAAAAGGAGGAAAAGGTGAGGAATAAAATATCATGGAAGTGGAGAGAATAGGTTCTTGTGCCATCGACCTTGCATAAAAGTTTCAAGTCTCTAGTTGGCATGTTTTTTTTTTTTGTTTTTTTATATGATATGATGAATTCCAGAAATACTTGTAAAAAGAAAAAAAAAAACATTTTAAGGATAACAAAAAGAAAAAAAAAATGGTCACAGATTCATTATCTATATATTAACTATCTTTCTAGAAGAGAAAATAAAAATTCATTATTTGACTATTCTGGATCCGATCGTTTAGAATTTTTATAGGATCTATTCCAATACAATTTTTTTAATTATTAATAAACCATCAGCTGCAAGCGCAATATAGTTTTTTCCGTTCCAAAATCAGTAACCCGCATGCGCTTGGTACGGGGAAACCGTAGTGACATGAGACTGACAGCCAAAACTGTTTTGGAACAGACCTACGCTCAGTGTCAAAATGTTGGACACGCCCATTGAAACTAAAAAAAAACTTTTTATGCTTTCTTTATTTTTTATTAATATTATTTTTTTAAGCACAGTTTAAAGTATAAATTATGATATTGAAATAAGGACAATCTTCTCAGACCTTGAGGATTATTTAAATATCAGTAAATATTGACATTTTATATGTGTCAAAATGATAGACGTACTTGTTGTTGTTAACTATTTTCTTAATCCTCTTGAGTTGAAATCGTTAAAACACCATTTCTACTTCAGGCCAATGTTGAATTTGTTTCATAATAGACCTAAAAAGAACGTGAGTTATGGGAAAAAATAAGTGTTTCTCCGAAGAAGAGCACCGTTTGATTTCTTCACTCCACAAGGAAGAGATGAGTTGTATAGAAATAGCCCGCCGAATTAAGCGAAGTTTATTCGGCAGGAGGAGACATATGAAACCCACCGTTCTACTGGGAGGTCCCCTGCTTTGACATGATGAGAGAAACGGAATATTCTTCGAATTGCATTCAACTCTTGTAAAACAGCAAGAGCAATTGCTGAGGAAGCAGGAGTTCTAACAAAACTAAGAAATGTCCAAAGATTATTAGAAAAGTCAAAAACAATAGTAAGGAAAAAATTGAAAAGAATGCCAGTTTTGAGTACCCGTCACAAATTATCCCGGATAGCCTTTGCTCGTTATGTGAAGTCATGGACTAAGGAGTGGAAGGAAGTCATCTTTAGTAATAAAAAAAAAAACTCAATCTGGATGGGCCAAATGGATTTTCGTATTATTTTCATGACTTAAGAAAAAAAGAAAAAAACAAAATTTCAGTTCGACTTCGTTAACTGTGAAAGCTATCATCAAGAATACTCTACCAAGTGAGCATTGAAAGAAATCACTAGCTTGGTAACGTCTCTAAGCACGACGTGCTAAACTGCGTGATAGTCGTAATAGGTTCGATCACCATTTCCTTCCCAAATCAGGAATAGCTTTTATTTGACGCCTTTTAGGCATTAATGTAATATCCCGTCATTAAAAAAAAAAGATTGAATTAAAAAAAAAGTACCTGAAAAGGAAGGTAAGTGCACGGAAATTGTAAAAAAAAAAAATGGTCTGATAATAATTTTTTTTTCCTAAATTTATATTAATATTAAAAGATAGGTTATTTTTTGGATGAGTTTACTTGGTTTTAACTCGTCTATTTTCCATGGGAAACAATGAACTGGTGTCAGAGTGGAAAAATATTTATTCGCAATTTTTGTTTTTTATAATCTGTTTTACCAATGATCCAGTTCATTTGAAAAAAAACAACAACAAAAAACAATAATAAATTGAATATATTTACCTAGAAAATATAACAACAGAATAAATTAGCAGAGTTTTAGCAAATTTTGATAAATCCGATGGAATGGGAAAGGCTAGGGAAATGGAAGTTACGTTTTTAAGAAGGTTGTGTGTTCAGGATAGATGAAGGTCGCGCACCCACTTTATATGAGCCTTAGAAGGGATTTCAGAAGCCAGAATCAATCTTCGACCAAGTGAATGAACTTTTCACAACCACAACTTCTCGGTGATTGGTGATGTTATAATCTCTGTATTTCTCGATACCTCAGCGCTATGAACCCAATGACCGGATGAACAAATCAAAGAATTTCAGATTCATTCTATTATATTATCTTAAGATTCAAAAATATCTGTTATTCACCTTTGTTTTGTTAAAATTGATTGAGTGATTAGAATTTAATAAGTTATCTAGAAGTCTATTTTTGAAAGTTCGTCCATAAATATTATAATGATAATGCAAAATATAACAAAACAAAAATTTATTAAAATTACAATATGATATCAATTCTAAAGTTAGACAGGCATTGTTCATCAATGAAATGGCATTTCGTTCTAAAGTTTGGTATTAATTAATTTAATAATATTACTAATTTAACAGTGTTTTTGTCATTAGGGTATTGATTCGGTTAATGTTTGTTTTATTATGAGTTTTTGTTGTTTTTATTTATTTTGTATTCCGTGATATGTATGTGTGTGTATACATGTATATATGTATGTATGTATATATATATATATATATATATATATATATATATATATATATATATATATATATATACAATTTGAATTATTTGTACAAGACATCATGTTCTTTAAAAAATAAAGGAAATCAATCTACTAGGTGATGTATAGAAAAAAAAAATAATATTACTAATTTTTTTTGTTTTTAAAGGTCCTGTAACATTTATTCTTAAAAATCCAATTGGAAAAATAAAGTATAAATAATTCTCTTTATAGTAAATAACAATAACTTAGTAGGAATAAAGGGATTGAATGTTAGAATATTCTGTCTAAATCGTTTTTTTTTTTGTTTTTATACATATTGATTTCATTATTCATTATGATTTACTTAAGTATTTACATATTTGTATGGGAAAAGGGAAGAATGAAAAATTTATTTGATCTTATTAAAACCAAGTCGAAGAAGTTCTCATTATAATATAAGATTTTTTTTTTCAATCTGGTAGTTCAAAAGTTAAAAGACCTGTTAGAAATAATTTATCTAATTATTAATTAATATTTAATAAATTGTTATCATCAAAACATTTTCAGATATATTGGTATTTAATTTATAGCAATAATTAATTTTAGAATATTAAAAGATAGAATATTCTCACTTATTGACCATGCTATCATAATTCATTGCTGAATTCATCAGTGTTTCATTCATCAAAGTTCATCATTTCATTATGTATTTAAAAGAACAACAATCCGATTTTCTGTATTTTATATATTATTTTATTAGGAAATATTAGACTAGCAATTTCAATTTTATTTTGTTTCGTAAATAAATCTAAATTTTAAAATGTTAATAATCCTAATTATGCTCCAAAAAATATGTTTTTATTTATGTGACATTTTTTTTATACTACAAGATTTTTTATTTTTGTAAAAGGCCTATTTTTCCTATCGCCAATCTAAAGTTTTATTAATCAATTAAATTACTTTTTTTTCAGAGTTAAGAGAAGTGTGGATATGTGTTCACCATCTTATCTAATTCGATGTTGTAGTAAAAGCAGAACTTATCACTGTAAAATAATTTTGCTAGATGAACAAGAAATATTCCAGGAGATCAGGGTAAAAAACTCATTAAAATAGATTTATATTCGTGTTTTCGTATTATATATTATATATATATTATTATTGATTAAAAAAAAGAATATGAAACCTTTAAATTGGTATTGAGGAATAAGGATTTTGTGGAATAAGGATTTTTATTTGGCCGATTGTAGCTATTTTTAATTTTAAATTTCTGATAAATGGTTCGTCTTCAAGAAAAATATTCTTCTACAAAATTCGGTATTCCTTCCTTAATTTTCTCAACGGAAAATAGTATCCATTAACATAAGGACATCGATACCAATTTAAAGTAAAAGCTTATTATTATTACTTAACATTTCAAGGACATCGATAGCAATTTAAAGTAAAAGCTTATTATTATTACTTAACATTTCTTTTTTATTTAAGGTTTTTCCATAAAGCAATGGGTAATAAATTTTCTAAGGCCTCTTTCCATATTATTCTCCATAGGATCTATTCATCTCGCAAACTATATCCTATCATAAAATCTTTTATTTGCTCATTTTATGCTCAACCTCGTATTTTTCTTCCGCCAATTTTCAAAAGCAAACTTTCCATGGCAATCTTTATTAATAAAAAGTTTATTTTAATACTGAATTTAATTAAATACATACTGTCTCAGAAAAAAAAGACATAAATATTTTGCAATATTTTTTTTTTTTGTAATTATTTTTAGAGTGGTGTAAACAGTAGTATTTTGACGAGACTGAATATTTGTTTTTATTAAACTGATTTGTCTGTCACAAAGCTCATCATACATAATTCAGAATTAAACCTTATTAAACAAGGAAATCGTCCTAAAAGTGGTAAATCAACAATCTTGTTGGTAGATGATAAAAAAAAAAATCGAGAATAATACACGATTGTATGAAAAATTGAACTTCACGAAGTTTATCCGCTTAATATACTTTTCAAGATCTTTTTAACAAACGCGGGATTACGGATTTCAATGAAACTTTTGTTTGGTGACACCAGTCCAAAAATATTTGACCCATGTCCAAGGGTTCATGCCGATGCGCCCTAGGAACCGAAATAGAAAAAATGTAATAGTTTTTTATATTTTTATATTATGCCTTAGCTCTATTTGGATTTTTAGGTTATAATGTATCAATTCATTTTTTTGTGTATAACGAAATCAAATGTATAAACAATTTCAAATATCAAAAGGCGCTTCCATTAAACTTGGGTAAGTAAATTTTTGTTATGGAATAACAATTCAGATTCGTTTCTAGTGTCGTTTAATGCTCGTAAATAAGAATTTGTTTTGAAAAGTATATATATAAACTTTTGGACTTGGTTTTGTGGGGGAACTTTTTTTTTTCATGCTGTTTACTAAATCATTCATAACCCCTCATGATTTCCTTCTGACTCAACGTCACTACAATCGTTGGAAAGCTGAATTATTGCTCTTCTAAATTATATCGATAACTTATTGATTTTACTCCTAGATAAGGAATAACTAAAGAACAATTTCTTAAATGTATTTATTTTATTGCTCCGTTTCTAATTTGTTTACGGGTTCTGATTTTTGACATTTCGTGTAGTTTATAGGCCACTAAATCCCTGAAAGGTTTCATATATGTAAATAGATAAAGTCATAGAACCTAGTCGAAAATTTTGACCCAAAACTTTTACTTCTGGGTGAACTCTTGCTACTTCCTGATTCTTTAAAGTGATCTCATAATTTTATAATATATATATATTTGTTGGCACAATACAGCTTAATTAACCTATATCATAGAAAACTAACTTCACTAAAACGTTTCTTTTTTTTTTACTGCTAAACTACTATTGGATATTAAAAAAAACTGTTATGCTAATAGTTAATTCATAATTTAATATTGTATAAAGAAAAAGTAATTTGCTAATAGTTCATGAAGGTTTCCATGTTTTTAAATAAAAATATTTTTAAATGACTCTTCTTCATTTATTTATCATTTCGATCTGGGTTTTTTGTCATTATTAAAGTTTGATTAAAATTTTTTACATTATTATATATCTTTGCTGTCAGTCACATCTTTGACAATATATTTTTGCATAGATTCTGTGTTCTCAATAAGGTCATCTTGTCCCAATTAGGAAAAATGTATTATTTAAAATCAATGCAAAATACTAAAGAAAAAAAATTATCACATAAAGTTAAAAGTTTTATGAAGAAAGAAAGAAAAGTAAATTTTATTCTGGGACATTAAGTCCCCCAATGATCACTACAATGAACAGTGAAATGGCAATTGTCTGGCATAAGTTAACAATTAAGAATAAATTAAATTACAAATTTATCTAAATCTAAAATTAAAATAAAGAAAAAGCACTGCTAGACATACGAAATTATAAATAAATTCATATGAATGCCACATATTTGTCCACATAAGCAATATGGACAATATCTAATTATCTGTAAGATAACAGTAAAATAAGGCTGATAGCTTTGAAAAATGAAAAGATTATTTTTACAAATATTCGGAGGATTGAATGCTGAGGAGATGGAAAAATAAATGGTGTTAACATGAGGTAAAGGATGAGGATTTGCCTATGGAGGTTGGTTTGTGAATTCCAAAACTAGGTAATACGAATGACAAAGGATTTTTTGCAAGGGAAAGTTGTATGAAAAGGTTTGAGGGTGTCTCATTCATTTTTCAATATTTAAATGATGAGCATGTCTGAAGAATAATTCAATTGAAGATGTTTTCTGACAAATTACTGAGGGCAGAGGATAACATAGGGCAACATATATAACAAACATATATGTTCTAACTTCTTATGGGTATAAATTTAATTTTACTATAATTATGTTACCAAAACTTTTACCATGACTTATCGACAACCACATATGGTATTTGGAGGGTTGAGCTCAAAATTATTATTATTTTAATCTAATCGACAGTTTTTACATTTTTTTTAGCCAACAACTTATGGTGAAGAAGTTCTGAAAACTGTCTTCAGGCATCTCAATCTCATAGAGACATCTTACTTTGGTCTAAGATATATTGATAATGAAAACCAAACAGTAAGATTTTTTTTCATTACTAATTATTATTATTTGTTTGTTTATAGATAACATTTCTTTTCAATTCCATTTTAACTTTTTAGCACTGGCTTGATGTTGATAAACGTGTAACAAGTCAACTGAGAGGTGAGTAGCAATTTTCATCTTGTTTTTAATTAATCTTAATAGAATTTTATAGTCGTTTTCTTGAATCGTGTCAAAGTTATTATCTGAAATTAAGCATCAGGTCTTATTTACATATAACTTATTATACAGGGGTGTTTTTTTTTTTTTTGGGGGGTTTGGGTTGTGTGGTGATTTGGAAGTTTGGGTTGAGTATGGGTGGGGTGTTGTTGGGTGGGGATGGGGTGGTTTGGAATTGTGTTTAGTGGTGGGGGGGGAGTTTGTTTTTGTGGAGGGGTTTGGTGGTGGTGTTTTGTAGTTGGTGTTGGGGGGGGGTGTTTTTTGTTGGTTTAATTGGGGTGATTGTGGGGTGGGGTTGTGAGATAGGGGTGGGTTGGGTAGGGGGTGGGATGGTTTAGGGAGGGGTAGAGGTTATGGGGGGGATGTGTTGGAGTGGAGGAGTATGAAAGGGTTTAGGAGGGTTGTTTGATAGTGGGTAATATGTTTGGTTATTTTACTTATTTTATTATTGTTATTTTTTTAGTAGATATATAATTAACAAATCCCTCTTGTAGCCTATGCACTCTTTAATATATGACTTTCTATTGAAGAAAGTAAATATTATGATAATATTACAATGTTCATTTGTTTCCTGTTTAGGTTGCCAAACATAATATTACATCTTAAGTTCTTCTCTGTTCAAGTGCCAAAAATAATAATATTATGATTTTCGTTTGGTCCTGTCACATTCACCAAATAAGTATATCTTTCAGGGAGTTTTGATGGACTACAACTAAATTTAACAATTTATTGATAATTGTTATCAATGAATTACGATTTAAATTATTATTTTTAAATACAATCCTTACATGAGGCCTTGTATTTAACATAAACACAATTTCATTTTCAGGTCGTAATATACACTGGCATGCAAAAAATTCCACCCACTTGATTTTTCCATGTTTTCATCTAAAAATATTTCTGTAAAGTTTTATTTGTATATAATACATGGTATTTGTTGATAATACTTAGTATTTATGGAATTTTACAATCTTTTTTACCTTTAATAATCAAAATGTGATTGGGTAAGAAAGATTAGAGAAAAAAAAATTGAAAAACGAACCATTATTACTCTAAAAGAAATTAATTACATCATCGTTTAGTAGCGCGTGTTTCCTCCTCTTGCCTTCACTACTTCTTGAAGATGCCTCGGCATACTTTCCACCAATCGGGAAATGTCCCTTTGCTGGAGGATAGCCCATTCCTCCCGAAGAGCCCTTTCAAGGTCCTGCAGTGTATCAGGAAGTGTTGCATGCGCTCTTATTCGTCTTCCGAGGTTATCACATAAATGCTCAATGAGGTTCAAATCTGGAGAACGTGCTGGCCAGGCTAAAACCTCAATATTGTTCTGTTGAAGGAACGTCAGCACTATGCGGGCGACATGTGGGCGTGCATTATCGTGCATTAGAATAGAACGATCGCCAATTTCGTTGAGGATAGGCAACACATGAGGTTCCAAAATCTCATCTACATAGCGAATGGCCGTCAAAGACCCTCCACGAACAACAACCAATTCTGTGCGGCGCTCCATTGAAACCCCAGCCCACACCATTAAGGAACCACGTTGGAAAGGTTGGCTATGGGAAAAATTACAGGCTGCATATCTTTCGTTTCTTCTTCTCCACACCCTTTCACGCCCGTCTGGAGATCGAAGAGCGAATGTTGACTCATCTGTAAAAAGTACAGCACTCCATTCTTCCATAGTCCAATGGCTGTGTTCTCGAGCAAAAACCAGCCGTGTTACTCTGTGAGTTCTGGTCAACTCTGGTCCTCTTACTGGATGGAAAGCCATTAATCCATATTCATTTAATCTTCTCCGAGCGGTACGTTCAGAAATTTGCACACCTTAAACTTCTTCGAGTTGATGAATTCCTTGAACAACGGTAAAGTGCCGGTTTCCTAAAATTCTCAAAGTCAAAAATCGGTCATCCCGTGGTTCTCTTATCCTAGGCCGTCCAGAATCGGGCCTTCTATTGTAAGAACCAGTTTCCCAAAAACGCCTTATGGCGTCTCGTAAAGTTCCATATGGAACTCCGATAGCATTAGCTGCATATCTAATGGAACGTCCATCATCAATAAGTGTCACACCACGCGCAACATCCTCAGCACTAAGAGGCATTTTTAAACTTAATATTGAAAAAATTCAGAGCCGGAGACTAAGAAATGTGCTGCAAGAAATGGCACTGAACTAATGATACTAAATAAATATTTTGATTCCATAGAAAGTAAACATTGTAATCTAGAATCATTTCATTGAATTAAGGATTAAGGGTTATTGTCCTCTATATTAACATTCCTAATTGAAAACAAACAAAAAGATTACCTATTTATTCATTAAAACCAATAGACCAATCCAAAGCAGAAATATTTTTAGATGAAAACATGAAAAAATCAAGTGGATGGAATTTTTTGCCTGTCAGTGTATGTGAAATAAATTCATAGACACTATAAAGACAATATTATTTAACCTTATCACTGATGAAATTTCACAGCTTATGAATCAACCTCAAACACAACTACTGCTGACTAACTAACTACATTAATTGACTTTAAAACTCTCAAGTAATTAACTCCTTAACTGACTGCACTGTGAGTCTGTCGAGGCTGCAGAAGGTTGTAGGTGAGCTAGACAATTCACTCAAATCTCATTGGTCAAAACTGCTGATCGACTTGAACTATCTAGATCTTTTGAATAACTTTCTCTATTTTTGTAACTGTTGACATCCAAAACCATTATAATATTAAATTGAATAGATTATAATTATTATCCAAAATTAAATTTTATAAACAATCAGTTTTCGATTAAAAAAACAGAAAAGTCACTACAATATCTATGCAGGGTTATTATTATTAGTTCCTAGAATTCTTTAAGTGGGACATGGGGCTGTCACAAAGGCCTACCGTGCGCCTCGATCTTTAGCTGGCTTCTTGACTCCAGACCAGGTCTGTCCGGCTTTTCCTTCTCTAAAATCCTCCTCCAAGTTTCTCTAGGTCATCCGCATCTATGCTGGCGCTGGGGATTCCAATCTAGACTGCCATGTTATATCGTTGTACTCCTTTCTAAGTGTATGCCCCAGCCATCTCAATTTCCAACTCTGGATTACCTGATGTATTGGGATTTGATTATTATTTTGCAACCAAAGCTTGGCATTAGAGATTGTTTCAGCCCACAATACTCGCAATATATTCCACAGAAACCTATTGAGGAATGTCTGTAGCCTTTTGGTCACCTGCTTGGTAACTTTCCAAGTCTCGATATTATATAGTAGAAGAGACATAACATTTGTCTTGAAGATGCGAAGCTTGGTCCCTTTACTGATTTCTTGGGATCTCCAAACAGGCCAAAGCTGCGAGAATGCTTTTTGGGCTTTCCTTACACGGCTCCCAACATCTTAATGGGCCTCCTTCATCCTGGCTCACCATATTCCCAAGGTAGCAGAATTCAGTAATCATTTCAATTATTTCATCTCCTATATAAAGATTTTCCTGATTCCTATTATTCAATTGCATCTCTTTTGTTTATCAGCATTTATTTTGAGGCCAGCGCTTTGAGATTCTTTTTGGAGTTCATTTAGCTTCTCCTGCATTTTCTGAAACTTTAGGCGAAATAACATAAGTCATCTACAAATTCCAGATCTTCTAGTCTTTCAGTGAGCCTCCACTGAAGTCCTCGTTCTCTATGAAAAGCTTTCCTTAAAATGCAAGATATTTATGTGCAAAACCTCATCTGATTTTTGGACCCATTTCAATGTATTAAAAATAATGATCAGTTTATTTATAGTTCCTGCCTCATGGGTACCTATTTATCTTGTCATCGGTTGTCTTTAATGACTTCTGTTAAAACTGTTGAACCTTTCCTCAAGCATGCAAAACTTAGGTAGCCCTCTTGCTCATTCTCCATTACAGGTAGCATCATCTGCATGCTGCTATTGATAAGTGTTAATTTGATAATGGACAACTATTCTTGATTTTGTGAATATTTGTTCCATTCCAAAGTTAATCATGAACATTGTAACAAATATACTGAGTAGAATTTCTGGATGTTTTATATTTTTACTCCTCCATTCTATAATTCACTCATTTGAGCAACTATAGTTGACCCATGGCAGGTGGTATCTTTCATAGTATCAGCCATGTCTGACTTCAAAAAGAGATTTTAAGTATAACCTCAATTTTACAATTGATGATAATGCAGGTTCCCCATTTTAATTATCAGTTTCAATTTTACTCCTTGAAATCTGTTCTAAAAATAATATCTAATTGATGAAAAATTACATAATGTTAATTTGATTTTATTGTATAATAACAAATTACAAAAATCTTGTTTTTGGTGTTTAGTTTTAAAAATTTTTTTTTTGCAGATATCAGTTTTTTCTTCAATTGAGGCAAGATATTCTTCAGGGAAGACTGCCTGTCCCATTTGAACTTGCAGCAGAACTTGGAGCATACTTAGTGCAATGTGAGTTATGGAATTTTGTATTTTTAATTAATATGAGTATCATCAACTATTAATATTTATGACGCTCACGTTACAAAACAAGAATAATATAAACTATATTTTTTAGCTGAGCTTGGTGACTATGATCCTAGAAGACACCATTCTGGTTATGTATCTGAATTTAGATTTGTATCAAACCAAACATATGAGTTGGAAAAGAGAATTGAAGAAATTCACAAAGACCTTATGTAAGTAATGAACTTAAACAATTATGATGTTTTTAGTATGTTTAAACTTACTACTTTCAAAATATAATAATCAATTTAATTCACTGAAATCAGTTAATTTTACATGAACTGAAAACAAACAAAATTTTGAAGATATATTTCCAGAATTCAATGGATCAATATAATGTTTTATTGAGAATTTCTTTACCAACTTAATCAGTTTCATATATATTACTATGTTTACTTGTATAACTGGCTGCAATAATTGTGTGTACTAATTTCCTGATTATCAAATTTATTTAATAATTAAAATTTATTCTATTTAATGTTAACTTAAAATAGAATTAATTTAATAAACTAGATTCCCTACTTCTTGACCAATGTGCAAATATTGACTATTTATAAAAGTTTGCTGTTTATTCTATCAACTTTAGATTGTCTCTGAGTCCATCAAACCATCCTGGGACGTACTAATATTCTGTAAAGTGGAATTCTGAATCTTCAACAGATTAAAAATAAAAACCTGGTTCAGCATAAGGCTGATCAATAGGAACTAGATTTATTTGTATTAAAAGTTTTATATACACATGTGGTGGTGGTGGGTGTTAAAAATAAATTAACCAAATCCACTTAAATTTATCTTAATAGATAATTTTTGTTAATTGATAGATATGCTGGTAAACTTTTGCGTTAAATGTTAAAATAATGCAAGATAATGAGGTTATATAAATAAAATACCGAATAGCAGTAATTATTACATAATATATTGAGGGAAAAAATAAAGTGAATAATGCATACCAAATGAAATTTAAAAAAAATAAAGCTATTCCTCTTCATTGAAATAAGAATAATAATAAAAGAAAAAAATCTTTTAAACTAAATTTTGTTTGCAAACCATACAGATAAATAAATTCATACACCTACTATACTATTAATATGAATTATGAATAATTATAAAGTTTAATTATTTATATTTTCTGCTGGAAATCGGGCAATTGTTTACATGAACTTTTTTGTAGATGTCTACTATCAACCTTTTAAATATTTCTTTCTACTTACAGGATATCCTGTATATATAAATGCTTTGTACTTTTTAAAAATAATATCTAGAATTTTTTTTTTTAAATTGTAGAATTTCTATTGTTTCATATTTGTGAAAATATATATTTAGTATTTTACTTATAACGAAAATCTGGTCTTTACTGATTAAAATACTACAAGCAATACTTTTCATTTCTTATAATGATACAAATTTTTAAAAATATAGATCAAAATGCTTTTGTTTAAAAAATAGTTCTTATTATTTATGAGACGGGAAATGCTTCTTATATTTCTGTGACAAAACTATTTAGCTCATGCCTCCTATCCCGAAACTTAAAAAATAGAATCTATAAAACTATTATCCTACCTATGGTTTTTTATGGATGGGAAACGTGTCCACTTACATTAAAGGATGAGCAACGTCTTAAGGTTTTTGACAATAAAATATTGCACAGAATATTCGGACTGAAGAAGGATGAGTTAACTGGAGAGTTTAGACGGTTACACAGTGCCAAATTACGTTAACAGTATCTGGGTATTATAATTGAGGTGATTATATTACATCAGGGCTAATTCAATAGGCTTGTAAAATTTGTGGACTCAGTAACGAAGAAATTTGTAAAAGGTTTATATTTGCTGTGCTGACTGGTAAACAATCCAAGGGGTAGGCCGAAGTGAAGGTGGGAAGGTTTGCGTTAACACTGATCATAAGTGATTGGGTTTGGATGGCGACTGGTGGTGGGAGGTGTATAATAAGCAATTGGTGGTTCGACATAAAACCTTTGGGTTCACTAACTAACTTTTATTATTATTATTTATGCCTGTTCATTTCTAAATATATTTGGAAATACATTTAAGCAAATATTTATTTATCAGCATTTTTTTACTTAATTAACTTTGTTAAAACTGTTTATAAATCTGCTAATAATGTATTGAATTTTTTTTAGGGGACAGCAACCTTCGGTAGCAGAATTAAACTACCTTGAAAAGGTGAAATGGCTAGAAATGTATGGTGTTGACCTCCACCCAGTAGTGGTAATATTTTTAGCAATACACTTAAAATTATAGAGGATCAGAATTGAATATTAGGTTGTCCCTTAAGTTCTTTCCTTTTCCTTTATTTGTTGTTTAAGATTCATTTACTGTGTTATATATGAACTGTTCTGCTCTATTACTCTTTTCCATCTTTCAGGAAGTCTCTTATACCAGTTTTCCAAAATTTTTGAGACTTGCAAAATATTCATCGAGATTCGTTTTTATTTCACATTCGGATTTTTGACTTTTAACACACAGAGAATTTTTAATGAAAGAAACAAGTAATAATCGAATGGGTTAATGGTCTGGAGAGTACAGAGGATGAGATAGAAAATCCCAATCAAACTTCATGAGTTTTTGTCTTATGGACAAAGCAACATTGGCCATAAGACAGAAAGACAGAAACTCTTACAGTTTGATTGGGACTTTCTAACTCATCCTCCCTACTCCCCAGATGTTGCCAGATCTTAAGTGATTTAAATTTACTATTACTGTTATGTTCAGAGTTAAATATTATATGATTTTCTGATTTATGAATTGAATCGTTTTCTGTTACTTTAATTGGTGAGTTAAGATTAAAAAATTGATTAAGGCTAGTTTGAGTAGGAGGCCGACGGGTATTTAAATATTCAGTATTTTACATTAGACAGCTCTGAGTTATTGTCAGTTTGATCTTTACTTGTTATACAGGGTGTCCTTCAAGTAGGGGGAAATATTTAAAAGTTTGATAGTAGACATCAAGATCTACAAAAAAGTTCATATAAACAATATCCCAACTTCCCGTAGAAAAGTGGGAAATTTAAGATTTGTGTCTTTTTAAACGAGTCACGGTTTTTGTAGAATAGAAAGCAATAACTTATATTTGATTTAAGTAATTTAACATTGCTCCATAGTAAACTAAGTTATGGAAACGAACTATGTTGACTTGACATTCTGAGCAGCCTCCCTCTCCTCTACCTATATATACCCCCATAAAATCCTAGGCTAGTCAGTAAGTAAGAGATCTGTAGCAGTAGTACTTAGCATGTCATAATGTTCATTGTTTGATTTGTTTTCTCAATAAAGTTTTTTTTCACTTTTCGACGGTTGAGTTTCATAATTGGCGCCCAAACAGGGACCGCATACATATTTCATCGCGGTTCTAGACTCGAACTCTGCAGTACCAGAAATCAAGATTTGATCTACCTTTCGAGGATATCGCACCTGTAAGAGGCTGGCACCCCGCTCTGACTCTTAGATCTTGAAGAAGGACCTGCTGCTGAGCTGAAATCGTCTAATCACCCCGACAGACATCGAAACTCTTGGAAGAAAATTGTGAGTCAACTTTATTTGAAATCATCAAAACTCATTAAAATTTTTTATTTTATTATTTTCTGGTTTATTAATATTTAAATTATATAATTTTTTTTTATTATATATATAAATTAACATTTATATTATTATATTGTTATAAACATATATGTACTAACAATTTTATGAGTAAATTAGCTGAAAGGTTGGAACAAATTAGATCTATTCGCATTAACAATTTAGACGAAATGGCAACCACTTTTGCAATTAAATCCGCTGATTATGATCATATTCCAGCATTCAATGGGGATCCACATAATTTGCTTAAATTTGTAACCGTTTGCCGACAGGTTTACAATATAGTCTGCAAACCCGATAACAACCTCCACGAACTGAATGACCAACGCTTACTCAGTAAAATCCTAGCTAGACTTACAGGAGACGCTGACTACATTAATACGATGTGTGAATTCACTGGGGTCACTGAACTTTTACAATATTTAGAAAATACTTTTAGGGATTCTCGTTCTATTGAACAACTAACATTTGAACTCTTTAATTTAAGAATTCGTCATAAAGAACACCCTCTAGATTTCCTTCAATGATTAGACAGAAGTCGAACACTAATTATTTCCAAATACCAAATTCAAAACACTCCGGAAAGAGCAACTATAGTATCCGTGTTAGAGAAAAATATATTATACCACTTTTTCACAAATATGCCTCTACATATTAGGACATATTTGATGACTAAAGCCGGTCTAAAAACTCTTGATGACCTACGGAATCTCATACAAAATGAAAATCACCTTCTATTTGAAGATTTGATCAATTCTGGGAATATGAGGAAGCCCAGGGAAGCTCAGGAAGAAAACAGAAGAGGTTATGATAAGAGACATGATAAAAGACATCATAATAAAAACTATCACCAACCAAATTTCTATGGATCAAGAAATGATGAGCGTCGACACTCCCCTTGGAGAGATTATCACCAAGATTACCATAACAGTAATCAAAATAACCACCATGAAAGGAGAGATTACCACCAAGATTACCATAACAGTAATCAAAATAATCATCATGAAAGGAGAGACTACCAACCTCACAAAGAGCAGTGGAAGCCCGAAGACCAAAGAAGGTACTTTCGAGGCTCAGGACAATCCAAAAATAATAAGCCCGCAGAGAAAGGTGAATCATCAAACACAGTCTCAATGCGTACCGTGAGCGGTTTTCAGAAAAACAACTCAAGACACCCAGTATATAAAGTGGAAGAAGAAGACCCGAGAGATAAAGAAATAAGAGAACTTCGTGAACGATTAGAGAGGCTCACTGCAAATACAACAGAAGATCATTTTTTAGAGGACAGCCTAGATCGGAATTTCAAAACATAGAAATTCAGGAACTCCAGACAAATAATTTCCATAAACTGCCTTATGTAATTGACATAAAGGACCGTAAATGGCTACTTGACACAGGAGCACAAAAAAACTATATAAATCCAAAAATAGTACCTGCAGGAATCAAAAGAGAAAATGAAAATTTCATCGTGTTAACTGCCGCAGGAGAAGAAAAGGGAACAGAAACTATCACCACCGAAATCAAAAACAGGTTTTTAAAATGTCCCACTAAAGTTAAATTTTATTTACTAAATTTTAGTCCAAACCATGACGTTCTGATTGGTTCCGAACTCATGGATGACCTTAACTTTAAAATAGATTTTGAAAATAGGCACATTAAATCAGACTATAGTGAATTTAACTTCATATTGAATAGGGACTCCCTCCCGATTGAACACAAGAAAGGAGAAAATATAGCAGAAATACCTAAGGGAAAGAACTTTTATATAGATTATAAAACAGACGGACTGGAAATACCCCCAGGAATATATAGGGATAAAATTAAAATTATTAGTGATAAAATTGGAACAGTCAAATTGCCTCTAATGCATTTCCAAGAAGTGGAAATAGTGAACCCACCAATAGATAAGGAAGACAAAAATATAAATGAGCTGGTTAGAGTTGAACATATTCCTCCGCAACATAGGTCTGAATTATTAAAACTCCTGGAACAATAACCTGCCATATTTAAAACAGAAAAAGATGCATTATCAGTGACGGATCTAGTGGAACACAAAATAAAAACCAAAACGGATGATCCAATTTATTCTAGAAATTATAGATACCAGCAGCAATTCAGGGAACAAATAAGAGAAGAAATAAATAAAATGCTAGAAAACAAAATAATTACTCCCAGTAACTCACCCTATAATTCACCCGTTTGGGTAGTTCCTAAAAAAGCCGATGCATCAGGGCAGAAGAAAATAAGAATGGTGATCGATTACAGAAAACTCAACAGTGAAACGATCCCAGACCGATACCCCCTGCCGAATATTGAAGACTTACTCGGAAAATTAGGTAAAGCCACTATTTTTACAGCCATGGATCTTTGCTCTGGTTTTCATCAAATTAAAGTTGATAAGGATTCAGTTCATAAAACTGCATTCAGTACTGACCAAGGACATTTCGAATTCTTAAGAATGCCATTTGGGTTATGCAACGCCCCTGCAACATTCCAAAGGGCGATGAATATTATATTTTCGGATATGCCACATGTATTGGTATACATGGATGATATTATTATATTTTCTGAAACCTTCAACGACCACTTAAAACACCTAAAATCTGTTTTAGAAAAATTGAAAAAACATAATCTTAAAATCCAACTAGACAAAACGGAATTTTGTAAAAGAGAAATATTGTTTTTGGGCCATATAATAAGTGAACAAGGAATAGAACCTAATCCAGATAAAATAAAGGCAGTCAAGGAATTTAAATTACCTAAAACAGAAAAAGAAATAAAAAGTTTTCTAGGCTTGACAGGATTCTATTGAAAAATGATCCCTAACCATGCAAAAGTATCTTCACCTATGACAAGATGCCTGCTTAAGGAAGAAACTGAAATAAACCCTGATTCCTACCGTGAAGCATTTGAACAGCTAAAAACCTTAGTATGTAGTAGTCCGATAATTCATGTACCCAACTTTGGAGAAGATTTTTACTTAACAACTGACGTCAGTAATTACGCTATAGGAGCGATACTTGCTCAAAACAATAATGGTAAAGAATTACCAGTTTGTTTTGCATCCAGAACGCTTAATAAAGCCGAAAAAAATTATTCTACAACAGAAAAAGAGTGCCTAGCAATAATTTGGGCATGTAACCATTTTAGGCCTTATCTATACGGCAGAAAAATTTTTATTTACACTGACCATAAGCCACTCCAATATCTTAAGACTTGCAAAACACAAAACGCCCGTCTTATCAGGTGGAAACTGCTTCTAGACTACGAATATGATATCAAGCACATCGAGGGTAAAGCAAATAAGGTTGCTGACCACTAGTCGCAACATCCAGTTGACAAGCATGTTTCAGAGACACCCGAGTTCGACATGTATCATATCGCAGAAGAGGACTCATCTCTAGATACCCAACACTCTGCCGAGTCTTCAGATAACAGGATCCTTATCGTCGACGATGGTCAAAGACCTGTCAACGTCGAGAAAAATCAAATAGTCATCATGAAGATGAAGGACTGTTTCAAGTTTCTTCTGATCTTAATTCTTCTGGCTCGGACCTTCCAGGTAGAAACGTTGAAAATCCAGACGCTGTTGAATGGCCCTGGGGCTTCGATCATTCAAATGAATTCATTTT